TTTTTTTGCATTTTTCCAATGAAACATGATCCAAAACACATATTACTACTTTATATATCCATTCCATGAAGTCGTTCCTTGCAGATTGACCACAGATTTAAATCAGGAGAGTTTCCAAGCCAGTCTATATGACTTTGATTTGCTCACTGTTAAGGCTTGCCAGTGTGTTTGTGTAGCATTAGAATTTTCATACACTTCCTTGTCAATTAGTTGTCCTACAGACAATGTCTGTAGGACAACTAATCGACAATTGAGACAGTAGTGTCTGGGTGTGATGAAAACCTGATGCAATCACGGATGACGCAATATTTTTCAAGGCCAAACAAATTTTATCATACACCCCAAAAATAGATGCATATTACTGGATGCCACTGCAAATGACCTAATCTGAGGAAAGAATAGAAATGAATTACACCCTGTCACTCCAGTGGGTCTAAAACTGACTGTATGGTGAAAGCAAGGAAACTAAATTGGTTGTTTCAATTAATTTGCACAAGCTCCTTCTATATGGCAGTGAATGCTGGACAACTTCACAAATGAAGAAGAGACTTAAAGCAACAAAAATTTTCTACAGAAGGATGCTGAGAATATCATAGACTGAAGAGTTGAGTGATGACAATGTTTTAGAGGAAATAAAAACCACAAAAAAACATAGTTAGCATCAGGAAGAGACAGGTGATATTTATAGGGCACATTATGAGGAAAGTGGGATGGAAAATTTGATATTCATTAGACCTTGGTAAGAGGGACAAAAGAAAACAACGCATAACCTAACTAGCAAGTAAATGGATGGCAGAGTAAAGTTTAGGTGAGAGAATAGAAAGACAAAATATATTAAGAGCTACATATGACAGGAAATCAAGGAGAGCTAAGATTGCCAACACACACTGCATATAGAAAAATAATATGGAAGTCTGTGAAAGGTTTTTTACCAATAAAAATTACTTACTCAAATAGAGTCTAAATAACAATGTCCATGTGTATGTTTTGAGTAGTATATAGTTCGGTACCCTGACAACAAACCAAGAATACATGGCACTGATAATACTCTTTAAGCCTTTCATATCCACTGCTCCGATGGCCCCAGTAAATATCTTGACGTGAGTAATGGCAAAGTTTTAGAGAAAATGGGAACAAAAA